ACACTTGGAAATAAAAATTTACTTGAGTGTGTTAAAAAAACATACAAACATAATTGAACCCAAGATTTTTACATATTTTGGCAAATTCAAGATAGTTTACATCAATTATCCTTATAAAATCAACAAACAATTTTTCAAGGAATTTTAGTCAAATAATGCTAACTGTAATCAAAGTCATGAAATGCAATTATCGACCTTGGTAGCTTACTTCTTTGATCAAATGCACAAGAAAAGAGACCATATGGAAAGAGACCTAACAAACTTTAAATAAAAATTGAACTTAAAAACCAAGACTTCCAACATTGTCAATATAAGATTGAGATTGATAAAACATGCATCAAACGGTTATAAAGGTGAACTCTTAATTGGCATTTCAGAATTTCAAAAATTAACTACAAGGTGGGGGAAATCCATTCAAGCACAAGATGGAGATGAATCTATTGCGATAGAGGATGAAGAAAAATCTATACATAAGAAAAACTTTTAGTTGATAGGGTTTTACAATGAAATTATCTGTAAGGCTTTCTCTTTCTCTTTTTATTTTTTATTATTTTGTTTAAAATTTAAATAACCTTTACCAAAAATATAATTGTCACCATCTACAGAAGTCATTAACTTTGCAACTTTATTTCCCACACAAATAAGCCTCTTTGTTTGTGTACACCAAGCATATGGTATTGCTTAACTCCAAATGATTACTCACATAAAGTGTCCAATGCATTAGTCATTCCTACTTGTCATGTTGACCAACATATAATAGAGTTTTGACTTTGAATCAAATTGAGATTCAAACTATTTACAATGTACATGTAATGCACGGGCAATGCAAGGGCAATACAGGTGTTTAAAGATAGACAAAAGTTATTTTGATCATTTGAATGATTTTGTGCAACTTGAAGGTTTGGGCATTTAAACTAATGATCTTTTTCTCCGGTCTTCTTCCTAGCCAAAAGTTAGAAATCTTTGTACTTACTATTTGATTAGTGTATTAAATATAAAACATTTTTCAAAAATTTGTGAACATTTTGTTTAATTTTCTATTTGATTGCTCATATAAAATGATAATAATATTCAATAGCTTTAACATAGCTCAAATAGTTTAAGTCATCCCTTTTAGACTTAGTGTTGTTATAAGGTATGTTGAATTTGCACTTACTTTACACATTGTGCTAGAGATTAAATTTTTTTAGAACAATGTTCAACCCTGATTTAAACACCGAAAACCAACAAACAATAACATGAAAAGATGTAATTCCAGAGAGTAACATTATTCCCCAAACACAATTTCGGTTTGAAAGAAGTTGATGAGAAATTGCAGCATGCCATATGTAAAGAGACTAGGAATTAAGAAAATGATACATTGTCTTGCTTCTTTTGATATTGTAGCATCTTGATGGACTGCAATAAGAATGTGTTCCATGTTTTGCCAAATGATAAAAAGGAATATGTTAATGATGGAAATAAAAAGCATGGATTTTTGTGTGTACACCAAACACATAGTACTACTCAACTCCAAATCACTGCTCACATAAAGTGTCCAATGCAGTAGTCATTCCTACCTATCATGTTGATCAATTGTACAAGAGTTTTGGCCATGAATCAAATAGAGAATCACACTATGTACAACGCATGAAATACGCACCAGTAACATGTGGGTAATGGCTAATACAAGTGCCTAAAGATAAAATATATTTTTTTATTATTTTCATCATTCTAATGAATTTGTGTAGCTTGAAGGTTTGGGCATTTGAGCTAATGATCTTCTCTTTGGCTTTCTTCCTAACCCGAAATTAGAAATCTTTTTGCTTACTATTTGATTAACGTATTAAATATAAAACATTCTTTGAACTTCCTTTAAAAAATCTATTTAATTTTCTCCTTTTTTGCTCATATAAAATCTTAATATTCAATAATTTTAATTCAGTTTAAGTAGTTTGGGTCATGCTTTTGGGACATAGTGCCATCACAAGGTATGTAGAATTTCCACTTAGTTAAAATATTATGCTAAAAGTTGATTTTACTATAACAATACTCGTTGTTGATTTAAACACCAAAGACCAATAGACAATAACATAGAAAGAAGATGTAATTCTAGAGAGTAGCATCATTCCTAGATACAGTGCTTTCAAAATTGCATATTTTCAACTAATCCTGTGCAATCTTAGATGATTGGAGATAGTGTCAAAGTTAGGACTTTTTTTTGTTAAGGAGTTGAATTGAAAACTTTTATCATAAATTGGTGAGCCTATAGATCAATTACAAAGTCAATGCAAGAAAATTTATTTTGATATAAAATTATGCTAAATACCACTAGTTAGTCTTTGGTGATAAAAAAATCAATTAGTCTTTAAGAATGAGCTAATAATGGTTGCAATACTGGAAACACCTTTTGTTCAGACCGAAAAATTGCTATGAAAATAGAGAAAATCGGTCTGAAAATAAATATTCAGATTGTTATTGATCTAGATATTTGCTCTAGAAAAACCCCATCTAAATAGTTTTACATTCAGACCGACAAAAAATTGGTCTAAATAATGGTTGACATTTTGATTCAGTCGTAACTTGAACCAAACCAAAAGCAGTTTAAATACATATAATTTTCAAACCATCAGTGGTGTGAATATATAAAACATTTCAGACTAATAATGGTCTAAAAAATAGTGGCCTTATCTATGAAATCGAAAAGGTATGATCTTAATTTATATATCCTTTAATAACTTTAATGGTCTGAAAAATGATAGACTTATTTAGAAGAATAAAAAATGTTTAGTATCTATGTGTCACTATGTTGAAACAAATTTCAAACCAACTTTAATCCGAATATGTGTGGCCTTATTTAGATAAAGAAAAAAGTT